GAAATTGAAAGCCAGTTACTGCTCCAGACCCCAGAAGCACCTGAGATGACCAAGCTATGTCTGATTCCATATAGGATGCCCCTGCCACAGCTTGCCTGTCCCCCTGGGAACCAGAGAGAATTGTCAGCGTGAAGCAGGAAGTCAGAAGTGATACCAAAGCCAGAGGTAAGAGCTGCCAGGATCTGAAGGAGCCAATGGCAAGACTCCAAGAAGGGGCACTGAGGTAGGGCCCCAGCAAACAGAGCACAAGGAAGATGGGCAGTGGGTCCCCGAATCCCATCAGTGGGGCCTCCTTTCCGTTACCTCACACTCGGCAAGTCAAAGCCAGGCCACCCAGAGCCTCTGCCTGACTTCCCCAGCTCCGTGCATGGTCCATGATAAGTGTCCAGCCACGCAAGCCTGTCTCCGTTGGTCTCCTCTGTTCTTCACTTCCCATACCTCAGGACCTATTTGGGAGAAGAGGCAAGTGTGAACAGCTTGACCTGCCAGGAAGTCCTGCTTCACAGATAACCTCCCTCTTTGATAAGTACTAAGTTCATTCTCTGGCAGCTAGATTAAAGGAACTGATTGCCAGTGAGCAAGTCATGTCACAAGAACAGAAACATCAGCCTGCTCTCATCCGCACATAAGCCACAGTAGATGGGACAACAGAGTCCTTCCAGAAGGACCATTTGAAGCACTGTTTTTCAAGGATGAAAGGTTCCGTGAAGGGCTCTGGGATTTGCTCTCAGCTAGTCTGATGGCCTCTGCACAGGAGAAGGGCTTGTGGTTCTGGGTACCAAATTTACATTACATACGTTTTTCTGCCTCCACCTCTGACTGTGAGCTTCCCCAGAGACAGGAACGTGAGAGTCCTCCACTGTCTCCTGCTCTCAGCACCCGCTCAGGCACACTGCGGCTGCTCCAGTGGGAGTGACATGATGGGAGGCGGAATGAATCTTAATTCTTCAGGCTAAATGTCTTAGCAGAAGCTTATGGTGCACGGCCCCTGCCCCCCTTGATTTCAGCACAGCTGAGACAGACAGTTCCCCAAAGGGCACCAAAGTGCTCCTGCGAGTGGCCTTGTAGAGGGTCTCCTAGGTGCCATACCATATAGACAAAGAGGGGTCAATGTCCCCAGGGGCAGGAGTAGATCGATAAATCCTTAGCTTCCCCATTTTCTATGGGACAATTTTGAAGTGTGTTTTACATTGTTCTGTGTAAGATTCCAAGCAGACTGAGACCCAGCCCTCCTGGACCACCAGCTCATTAAATAAGCAAAGTTTATCATCTATTTTCCCTTCCTGTCTTTGCTCTTTCTTTGTTTCCTAGATCACATCTCAAATAAACTGCCTGAACCTGAGTCCTGGTCTCCAGCTCTGATTTGGAGGAAACCCCAACAAAGGACCTAATAGGGACTCTTCATTCTCTTCAACCCTCTTGTGGTCAGTGTTCAATTTCTTTGGTTTGTCTGATGTTTGAACCAACCTCTGAGAACTTCCAGGCACTAACCTCTCATCTTCACTCCTTAGTGGTCACCAAAAAATACCCCTGGGGGCTTGTCCTCCACATCAGGAGCTTGCCCATCATTTCTGACCTGTTGTCTTCTCAGAAGGGAAACTTGATGATTTAATACTTGACATAAATGGCTTTGGGGATATTTGCCCCAGCCCTTACATCTGGAAGTTTGGAGGCCACATCAAAATACTTATTGAACCATTCAGAGAGCACAATCTTCTCAAAATTACATCACAACCTCTTCTAAAGGGGCTGGCAGAATAGAACCCAGAAGGGCGCCACTTTCAAATATGACTATTTGAGAAATGATAGCGATTGCTCCAGAAATAACTTCTCCACCCTGCTGCTGGGCTGCCTGGTTCACCCCAGATTCTCTGAAGCAACGGGACGCAGAGATCTGTGAGACACAGCCCTTCTTTCAACAGAAAAAGAAGCCTCGCTGAGGAATCCATCCATTCTGTTTTCTGCAAGACTCGGCCTTTCATCTGGAGAGTGGCGGGTCCACAGCCACAGAAATGGCCCCACCGAAGGGCAGGGGCTGCTCCAGATGTTAGATGTTAATGGAGCAGATGCCTCTTGGGAAGGAGTCGAAAAGTCAGCCCACGAGAGGCACAGAAATGCGCTTTGCATTTGGGTGGGCTCAGTGGGGGGCATGCTGGAGCTCAGGGAAGGAGCGATCTGGGGAGGAAGGGGCTTGGTGTGGCTGACACTGATGGTGCCATGGTCCCTGTGCCCATTTAGTGGATCATTTGCCAACATTCCCATGAATGCCAGTATCTTCCTCCATCTCTCTGCCTGAGGGATTTGGCTTCTGGGATGTGCTTGGTCCACTTTAAATGCAAGCCAGAGTCGGGGAGTTACTGCCTCGGATGAGACTCTCAACCAACGAGGGAGTTGATGGATAATTGGCCCAGTTTCCTTGGCCCTAAGTGGGATGATCCTGGGTGTAGTGCACAGAGTCTTCAGAGGGTCCCAAGGAAGAATGAGTCCAGTTACCCACAGCAGTAAGTCCATCTTTAACACCCAGTTAATAGCTGTGCTGCCCTCCCAGTCTCACCCCATAACTCTCTCATAGGATCACATCCAAACTAAATCCTTTGTGCCCAGGATTTGTCATAGGATCTGCTTTTAAGGCAAACCAAGCTAACATACAGGAGAAAGTGGTCCATTAGTGTAAAAAAAAAAAAAAATCCTCCATAGCCCAAGATGTTCAAATGGGCTTATTTCTGGCACTTGGAGGGACAGCCAATCCCAGCAATGTTGGGAAGGGGAAGGTGATAAGCCCCTGTGGAAGGAATCAAGTGCCCTCCAGAGAGGCTGCCTTGCCAAATGTAACCAACTCTGTCCATAAAGTTGGGATGCACAAATGACTCCCAAGGGAAATATACATTTAGGTCCCTGCATTAGTTTCCTAGGACTGTCACAACCAAGTTCCATTAACTGGGTGGATTGTAACAGAAATTTACTTTCTCCCAGTCCTAAAGGCTAGACGTCTGAGGTTGAGGTGCTGGGGTTGGTTTCTGAGGTCTCCCACCTTGGCTGGTAGAAGTCCATCTTCTTCCTGTGTCTTTACATGTTCTTGCTTCTGGGTGTGCCTGTGTCCTAATCTCCTCTGCCTATAAGGACACCAGTCATGTTGAATTAGGGCCACCCACTGAACCTTTCTTTACCTGAATTACCTCTTTAAGAGACTCTGTTTCCAAATACAGTCCCATTCTAAGCAACTAGGGGCTAGGACTTGAAAAAAATATATAAATATATATATATTGGAGGGGGGAAGCACATATCAGCCTCTAACAAACCCAAGTTGAAGAAAGAAGGACTGTGGTGCCGCCATTTGCAAGGTTCCTCAAGGTGGGAGCTCTTGGTTAGGGAGCAAATAACAATGGGACTGAGAAGATGAGGGATAATGAGGCCGGCAATGAGCCTGTAAGAAATGAGGAGGTGGCAGGAGGCAGGGGTGTGGTGTCTAAACCACAGCAACTATTTGACCTACCCGTGGGTCTTATCTTATTTCTATGGAAATGAGCTCATTATGGTTAAATCTTTTTCCAGCTTCTGGTTGATTCATGAAGTGGTCTCGGATATTGATAACCACTTCATGAATCACTGACAAACACAGGAGCCAAATATCTGGCACTTGTGATCGCACTTATGAACATTCCTACCATGATCTGGGATATCCCTCTCTCAGCAACCAGGTGTGCAGGCTAGAAAATTCTCATTTATATAACAAAGTCTCCTGCTTTGGTAATTCCACGATGGTCATTGTTCAGATACTAAATCTCCCCCAAGCACTTTGTGAACATTAATGACTGAATTCTGAAAGATCAGTTTGAAACCATTGCCACATTAGGCATGAAGTGATCAGCCACCAGCTTCTGCGGTACTGTTTCTGGGGGGAAGGAAAAGGGTGTTGCTCAGAGGAGGCCATGGCAGCCATGTTTCCGCTCAAAGGGGGATCTGTCTCAGCACAGCTGTACACAAGAGATGGATATCTGTTCTCGGCAAAGAAAGAATACCTACCTCTCGGATAGACCACAGTCCTCAAAGAAAATAGAAATTGAAAAGATCAGACTGGGGAGAGACACAGAAATCTGCCATATCTCAGTTGTATATTACAGGAGAAAATATTATAGAGACACAAAAGACGGAGTCTCCAAACCTAAAGTCCTCCTCAACACTTGAGAAGCAGAGGCCCCTTAAAACCAGAGGCAAACAAATAGGGACTCTAATTTGCTTGAAGCTCATCTATTGATATAGAAGGTATCTGGGAGGTGTCCTATTTTCAGATGGGAAAACTAGAGTTCAGAAAGGGCAAGTAGCTTGTCCAAAGTCACCCAGTGGGTGACTTTGGAAGAGAGGGCTAGACTCCCACCAATTCCCTCAGTTTAGGTCATCTTTTACCACATTCTGCCAACCTGGTAATCAACTACAGTGATGTCAAGGAGCCTTAAGGGCCATTTTGTCCAAATGTGCATCTTCCAGATGAGAAGACCAAAGTTGAAAAGTCAAAGAGAGCATCAAAGTTGGAGCTAGAGGCTAGGTCTGGACTTCTTTTCCCTACAACTCCTTTTCTTTTTCTGTTTGTCCTGTCTCCCCCTCAAGAGGAAATAGCCTCTCCAGGTCTTCCTGGGAGTGAGAGTTCTCCTAATTCTGCCCCCTAGTGGCAGAAATTGGACAAGAAGCCTCTCTGTCATTCTTCTATTCAACCAGAGGCATTAAACATCCTCTGCCTGCCCTTCACTGAGTTCACAAAGACTTGTGACTGTCCTGTGCCAGGCATGGAAGAAGAGCTGAAGACAAAGTAATAAGCCAAAGAACAAGAGCTGCAATAATACGGTTGGAACTCTAACCTGCATATTACTGAAGTGAGAGAGGGTGTTTGCAAAAGAGGGCTTTTGTTTTCAAAAGAGGCTTTTCTAGGTAGACAAGGTAGAAAAGAGAATTCCAAGGAGCTAGAATCACTTATGCAAAAGCAAATAGATCTAAGAAAAGGAACCTGAAAAGCAAGGGGCACAGGAGGCGATGAGAAAAAAAAAAATCCCCTGAGAGCAGCTTGGGAAAGGCCTTGAATGTTCCAAACAGAGAGACTTCCTGGAAGTGATGGGGGCACTTGGAGGATTTTCAATGGAGGAGGGATGAGATCAGATGAAGTTCTTTGAAAGGCCACTGGCTGGCCGTGGGCAGCAACTGGAAACATGGAGGATACAGAGGTGAGTGCCCTCTTAAAAGGTTTTTGCAAAAGTCCCGCTGGCCTGTGCAGGACCCAGGGCCTGGGCTATGGGAGGGGTGATGGCGAGGAGGGATGGACTGGCCAGGGTAAGGGAAATAGTTGGCAGGGACTGGTGTCTGACAGCAGGAGCCCCAGCCCCTGCACCAGGCTGCCACTGCCCTCTGCACCTGCCTGGGTGTGACCTCAGAGAGGGTGCAGTCCACTCCCGATCCTAAAAGAGATGCCACCGTCCTTCCCTTATCACCGTCTGTCCTCTCCCTGGTAACTGGCAGCTCGTCCTCCCTAGCTTTATTGCTTTCCTTCTCCATATCATATCAAGCATCTCTTCTTTGTGACTTCAAAGTATCCTCCAACTGTCCCCTGACTGACATCACTCTTCCTCCCACCAGCCTCTGCCTTCCACCAGCCAGCCGCCTCCCATCGCCCCTCCTGGAACCACAAGAGATGCATTCTTTACAAACAGCCTGCTCGCCAACCCAGCCCTTATCTCAGTCTGCTTTTCAGCTTAAAAGAAGTTTCTGAAAGCCCTCTTTGGAAAACAGCCTCTCTGACTGCAATAATATACAGGTTAGATTTTCAACCATTGTCTATTCAGACCAGGGGCTGCGTTTGACTCACCCGATCAGGGTGGTTTGCATGCTGTCAACACCTCCCTGCTCGAATCTGTGTGCGTGTTTGATGGGAAATATCTTATCTGTAATCAGTTTTCTGGGTTATGGACCCAAATTTCCTCTGCAAAACATCAGGAGCGAGGCACAGGCACCTCCCCAAAGGAATGCTACTGCTCTTTGAAAACCTCAGAGACTGTTTCCTAGAGCAAGCTAGAGTTCAGCCGAGCCTGGTTTTAATCCAACACCCCATCCCATGACAAACTAAGTTTAAGTTTTGTTTTCAAAACAGTATAAGGTGATTATTAGTGTTAAGCAAAATAATAGAGATTATTCCAATAAATATCTATTGTAAACTTATTCTGCCCCAGCTGCAAAAGGTACTGATAAACTGTCTTCATGTGACTTATATCTGGGTGGAGGACTGGGAGAAAAACTTAAAAAATAAATGATTTTCTATTTGATGTGATAAGTGCAATACTGTAAGTACCATGTATGGAAGGAACTCAGCTTACCAGGTAATGTCTGAGATTTTTTTTGTTCAAAACACAATGGTAGGCATTTTTAAAGTTACAAAATATATGTATAGTATAAACCTAATGCTAGCTAAGTTGAAGTAAAGAAAAGTGTGTAATGTTATAAGAAAATGATATGAAAATGCATTTAAAGAATCAGACTAGTGCACATAATATTCCCCTGCCAATAATAAATCTATCCAAAGCTGTAAGTCAAAAGGAACAAGGATGTTAAGGATAGCCAGTATATCATTTTCTAGAATAAATGGCCCAGGTAATTGAGATACATCAACTAAAGGATAAAGTATGTAGTTATTTAAAGTAATTGTGGAGACCAGTCATTTGAACTCTCCTTGGGATCTAATTTCTAGTAAAATAAAGAACACAAAATGTTATGTTCAATAACTGCATGTGGTCTGGGCACTTAATGCCTTTGCTTTTAGTGGGTTATGCTTTTGAACATCAATAGTCTGAAAGGTCTTTCTCCCCATGCTCCTGTTTAACTCCAGAATGACACTGTGAGATTAGTATTATAAACGAAGTAACGAAGGCTCAGGAAGACTTGAGGACATTAATGTATAGGAACACACATGTACATCAAGGCACCCAGCTCTCTGAACTCCAACTTAGGTTCTTCTTACCTCTATCTGCTAACTAGGTCTGATGACCAAGGAGGATTGGTCACCCCATAGGTGAGGGGGAAGATTTCTGTACCATCTTCTGCTGCTGTGGAGAGGACCGCAATTCCTCATCAGAAAACCTGGGCTCAGCTTTGTTCCAAGACATGTGAGCCAGTCCGTGAGGATGAAGAGGATGCTTGTGGTCCATCCAGAATGTTTGGTTTGAATGTGACATGTCCCCAAAAGCTCATGAGACAATGAAACAATGTTCGGAGATGAAATGGGTAGATTATAAAAGCGAAAACCTAATCAATGTGTTATCCTTTCGATGGACTGATAATTTGAAAGTGCTACTATACTAAGTGGTAGCTATAGGCAGGTGGGGTGTGGCTAAAGGAGATGTATCTCTCTCCTCCTCCTCCTCCTCCCCCTCCTCCTCCTCCTCCCCCTCCTCCTCTTCCTCCTCCCCCTCCCCCTCCTCCTCTCTCTCCCTCTCCTCCTCTCCCTCCCCCTCTGCCTCCTCCTCCTCTCCCTCATTCTCTTCCTCCCCCTCCCCCTCCCCCTCCTCCCCTACCTCCCCCTCTCCCTCCTCCTCCCCATCCCCCTCCTCCTCTTCCTCATCCTCCTCCTCTTCCTCATTCTCCTCCTCCCCCTCCCCCTCCTCCTCTTCCTCATCCTCCTCCTCTTCCTCATTCTCCTCCTCTTCCTCATTCTCCTCCTCCCCTTTCCCCTCCTCCTCTTCCTCCCCCTCCCCCTATTCCTCATTCTCCTCCTCCCCCTTCCCCTCCTCCTCTTCCTCCCCCTCCCCCTATTCCTCATTCTCCTCTTCCCCCTTCCCCTCCTTCTCTTCCTCATCCTCCTCCTCCTCCCCCTCCTCATCCTCTTCCTTTCCCTCCCCCTCCTCTTCCTCCTCCTCCTCCTCCTCCCCCTCCTCATCCTCTTCCTTCCCCTCCCCCTTCCCCTCCTCCCCCTCCTTCTCCTCCTCCTCCTCTTCCTCATCTTCTTTCTCCTCCCCCTCCTCATTTTCTTCCTTCCCCTCCCCCTCCTCATTTTCTTCCTTCCCCTCCCCCTCCTCTTCCTCCTCCTCCCCCTCCTCGTCCCCTTCCTTCCCTTCCCCCTCTCCCTCCTCCTTCTCCCCCTCCTCCTCCTCTTTATTCTCCTCCTCATCCTCATCTTCTTCTTCTTCCTCCCCCTCCTCCTCTTTATCCTCCTCCTCCTCCTCCTCCTCCTCCTCTTCCTCCTTCTCCTCCTTCTCCCCCTTCTCCTTCTTCCCCTCCTTCTTGGTTACCCTGAGGTGAGCAGCTTTCCCCTGCCATCCCCTTCCGTCATGATGTCCTGCCTTACTTTAGGCCCGGAGCATTGGAGTCAGCCAACTGAACCTGGAGCGTTGGAGTCGGTGGACTGAAGCTCTGAAACTGTCAGCCCAAATAAAAATCTATCTCCTTTTAGCTGTTCTTGTCAGGTATTTTGGTCACGGTGATGAAAAGCTGACTATTGCGGCACCTAACTGTGAGCTTATTAATATTAAAAAGTGTATGTATAACTGATATGTGCAGATTTATCAACCTGTAATTGGGCTTAGCACTGGGGGCTGGGACAGAAATAAAATGACCACCTTTAATGCCTCTTCGCTCAACAGCCACCAAGCGCAGACATCCAAGAATGTGCACCTCATGCCTTCACCCACTGATGGACTCCTAGGTTGTTTCTACTTCTTGGTCATTAGTAAGTAACACTGCAATGAACATGAGAATACAAATATCTCTTAAGATTCTGATTTTAATTCTTTAGAAAAAACAAATATTGTTTTCCACAGTGGTTGCACATTTTACATTCCTACCAACAGTGTACTAGGGTTTTATATATATATATATATATATATATATATATATATATATATATATATATCTCAGAGATATTTTGGTGGTGGGGACAGTGTACTGGGGATTGAACTCAGGGTCCCTCAACCACTGAGCCACATTCCAGCCCTATTTTGTATTTTATTTAGAGACAGGGTCTCACTGAGTTGCTTAGCGCCTCACAGTTGCTGAGGCTGGCTTTGAACTCATGATCCTCATGTCTCAGCCTCCTGGGCCACTGGGATATATCAGATATATAGTTTTGAGCTTTTCCAAAGAGATTCCAAAGAGGGAAATCCCACCGTGTGTGACAATGTGGATGAACTTGGAGTTCACTGTGCTGAGTGAAATAAGCCAGGCACAGAGAGACAGATAATACATGATGCCATTCACATGATGAATCTAAAATAGTCAAACCCAAGAAACAGTGCAATGGTAGTTTTCCAGGATCAAGGTCAGTAGTAAATAAGAAATTGCTATTCAACCAGTATAAAGTGTCAATTAAGCAAGGTGAGAAAGTTCAGGAGATGTGCTGTACAGAATGCCACAGTTAACAATACTATGTTGTGTATTTAAAATTGTGCTAAAAGGCTAGATCTCATATTCAATGTTCTTTTCACAATTAAAAAAAAAATAGTACGCACACCCAAGCTAAACTGTCTGAGTCAGTCTGGGTTCCCTTTTCACTTGCTGTGGTGACCTTGGGCCAACCACTCAACCTCTCTGTATCTCCATCTCTTCATGATAAAACATGAATAACAAAACTTGCCTGGTAGAATTATCATAAAGTTCACTATTTTCTGATATTAATAAGCAAACAGCAGTTCCAGGAATATACTAAGATGATTTTGTCTTAAGCATTTATAGAAACTTGTGACTTTTTACCCTCAAGACAGCTCTGAGGGGACTATTATCTGTTATCCCCATTTTATAAGTGAGGAAAGCAGCATTTGAGATTTAAGTTGATTCATTGTACATGGGAAAAATTAACCAGCAATGATGCAGACTAGGCTTTGTCAAAACAGGTGAAGGAAGAGATGCTGCTCCTGTGTGTCCCTGGAAGGCTTCCTGGAGGAGTTGGCCCAGAGTCTGGGTTTTAAAGAGCAGGGATGGTGGCAACCAGCCTTTCCCTTTTTGGTGGGGACAGAAGAACGATGCATGTTGAGAAGATGCATGAATGTCAAGAATAAATCGATCAACGTCACAGAAGCCTAATCTGCCCAGGACCTTGAATACTTGGCCAAGGTGTCTGAAGACACTTCCTGATGATAGTGAATCAGGAAAGGCAGTGGGCAGGAGCAGAGAGTCATCTGCTCACTTGGTCCAAAATGGTCCCCAGGAACCCAGTTTATGTGCCAGTCAGCACCCCTGACATGTCCGTGATCCCTTCCTCTGAAAGGGGCCCAGCAAGGCTGAGGAAGAAGCAAATGAGATGCAGGCCCACAGTCAAGGTAGCCCCTGCCACCTGGAGCCCCTCAGACTTCGTCCTCCAGTGGGGTGGGGCTTATCACAGACAGGCTCAGACTTGAATTTGGTGAGGGCCACGGGGTTGGGGGGGACTGCTGGCGCACTCCCAGAGGATGCTGATGTGCTGGTCCATGGACCACCCTTGAAGGAGCAAGAATCCCAAGATTTTGCTTTCTGTCTAGTCTCATGACCGGAATCTCAGCAAGCAGTATAGTGTCCAGCTCAGAGTGGGCGCTTAAGAGTTTGTTAAACCAAAACAGCCAAATCCCTCTCATTCCTCTTATCACCAAGTGTCATTAAGCTGATCCCCTCCCAGCCACCTGTCAAGGGACATTTCTTCTTTGGTGCATCTTCCTGTAATATCAGCAGTAAAGTGAAATAAGACAATCCCCCCTCCCCCCCAAAAAAAGAAAAAGAAATAAGCCAATCCCCAAAAAACCAAAGACGGAAATTTTTCTCTGATATGCAGATGCTAATTCACAATGTGGGAGGGCGGCTAGGGAAGAATAGAATTGCTTTGGATTAGGGAGGGAGGGGCTATGGGGATAGAAGGATAGTAGAATGAAACAGACATTATTACCTTTGTACATATATGACTGCAGGACTAATGTGATTCTGCAACATGTACACTCAGAAAAATGAGAAACTATATCCCATTTATAGATGATATATCAAAGTGCATAAATGCATTCTACTTTAATGTATAACTAATTAAAACAAATTAAATATTTTTTTTTAACTAGCATGGTTCAGTTCATACTGAAGAAATTATGAGCCAAGCATCACAAAGCCAGTGAGTAGAGAAGTACGAGAGGACCGAGAGAATGTGAAGGGTTGGATTTTGGTGATGGGTGAACTACACTGTGGCTCTCTGCAGTGGGGCACCCACGATTCTCTCTCTCTCAGGAGTGTTTTGGTCAATTTCCATTTTTAAAAAAGCTTAAAAATACGAGCAAAGTCTAAATGAGATCTAAGAAGAGGATTCAGAGATAGGGATGGAGATGTAAAGTGTTTAAAGTTACCTTTTTGTACCCAAAGAAAGAACAATGTTTCATCTAGAGCTTTTCAGACTGGCGTTTCAACACATTCAAGTTCCCTGAGCAACTAAATTGAAATGGAATCACCTGCCTTTATTATTTCCTGCCCAGTCAGATTGGATTTACATTTTAAGTGTACGCTCAATGTCATGTCTAAATGGGAACTAATTGAGACATCCAGGAATGTGGATGTATCCTCCCACTTTGTAGGGGATGATAGAGGGTTTGCCTTTTAGAGTCCTGCAATCAGAGGATGGTAGGGTGGGGGGGCGGGTCGTGCTCAAAAGCAGGGGATACAGCCCTGCCCTATCTGTGCCTCCTGGGAACCTCAGGAAGGTCATTTTGCCTCTCTGAGGTTCAGCTTCCTACTCTGCAAGAAGAACTGATTGGAACCAAATTACCTTTACAACTTCTCTCTGCTCAAAAATAACAAGGTTCTACTCTGGGAACCCTCTTCATCACTCTGCTTTGCAATATGCAAATCAGCCAAATTTGGTAATTGGACAGAGCTGATGGGAACAATTTAATAAACTTTGATAACATTGCACAAAGTAATTGTTCAATTATTTCAAACGGTTCAGTTCAGGAAGTACAACGGGGGGGGGGTGGGTCCATGGAAATTGCCTTCACATATTAATCTTCTCATCCAGTAGAAGCCAAATGAGAATGAAGGCTGTGTAGGGGGTATTTTTGTTTTAATTCTGATTAACTGTACTTTCATCTGAACATTTTAAAGCTGTGCTTTGGTCTTCCTCATATGGATGTTGACTGAGTCTTCTTATCAGGATTTTAATTAACACCAGGTAGAGAAGGGGAAACCAGGATGACATGCTATTACTTCTGTTTGATTTAAAGTCAACGCTGGGGACTCTTCCTCGATGAGCTGTTCAAATTGTCTTATCTCATGCATTCCGAGGATGGCTGTTTCATGTAAATGTCATTTCTGCTGTCCAAAATGTTACAACACACGCCAGCACAATAGAACTACTGTCTTGTT